TTGGCAGATCCTCCTCCTCCCTCCCTCCTCTTCCTCCTCCTCCGTCTTTTTTTTTTTTTTCCTTAAATAATTTTGAAAGTTGGAAGATCCTCCTCCTCCCTCCCTCCCTCCTCCTCCTCCTCCTCCTCCTCCTCTTCCTCCTCCTTCGTCAACTTCTTGTTTTTTTTTTTCGTCAGTGAATTCTGAAAAGGGCAGATTCTCATCCTCCCCCTCCTTGTCCCCCTCCTCCCCTTCTTTGTATCTCCCCGTCCCCCGAATATTTTTTTTTTAATCATAATCAAGGATTTTGGAATTGACTGCAGCAGTCGTGTGTGTTTGTGGTGTGTGCAGGTTTTCATGGCGTCTCACTGTACACAAGGACCAACCCGACACCCAAACCTCCCCCCCCATAATCAAGGATTTTGGAATTGACTGCAAAAATGTAGAGTCACTGGAATGCAATGGCAGTGTGACAAATGAGTGGGGGAGATGCTGCAGTAGAATGGATAGAACAGAAAAAGACTGGCCGTTCCACCATTGAGAATATTGATGACGGAGGATGCCCTGCCAGATTCAAAGGGAGACAAACTACTTATGGGAGTTATGCAGGATGGGACACGTGGTGACCAGGGAAGGTGTTGAGAAAGCTACCATCGTCACCCAAATAGAAGATGAGGTCATTATGGCTGTACTCCCCATCTAGATACAGTGATAATGGCCGACCATCTGTGCTATGAACCTGGGCGCCCGGGTGGTCTTCCCAGCAGCTGTCCCGGCCTGCCGCCTTGGAGGTCCAGCACATTTCTGCTGGGGCCTGCAACTTTTTTCCAGGCGCCTGTTTTGGGCCTCCAATGTGGCTAGGAAGGCCGCCTGAAAACAAATTTGGCCTTACCGCATGCCAGCAGGCCCTGAAAAAAGGCGCCCAATCTGGGCCGCTAATCTGCAAAGATCAGCGGCCCAGATTGGGCCGCCATATTTTTGAACCGTGAAATTCGAACCAGGCTCCCATGCAAATTTGAACGTGAGCAGGGGGGTGGTTCGACATCCTGCCATCCATTCCCTGCCCACTCCACCCCCATTCATCATTCACCACAGCACCGCCTAGTCGACATCACCTTCACCCGACCATGACAACATTGTTACCGTCTCGCAATCCTGTCGCCCGTCCACTTCGCCAGAGTCGAGTGTGCCATTGGCCCCACTCCCCCTGGACTTCCACACAGGTAAGTTTCTTCTTCTTCTTCTTCTTCTCCTCCTCCTCCTCCTCCTCCTCCTCCTCCTCCTATTCCACGCGCACAAGAGAGAGAGAGGTGGCTTATTTGTCCATGTCGCCTACTTTCCCCCCCACTTGTCCTCATTCTCCTCCTCTAAGCTCATCCTCGTTCTCCTCTGTCCTCCATCTTCGTCTTCTTTTGTTCAGAGAGACAGAGAGAGAGGGTGAGAGGGTGAGGCAGCTCATTTGTCCACGTCGCCGCTTTCCCCCTTCATTTGTCCCCGTTCTCATCCTCCTCCCACCCCGTCGCGTGTGGCACAGGGCACACGGGACACATGTGACAAGTCTTGTCACGGGACAGTTTTCGTTTTCCCACCATTTCAGACTTCTACTCCTCTTCCTCACGGCATCATCTTATCAGGTCGTCGTTGTACGCCTCCCCCGCCATCCCATCCCTTCCTCCTCTCCGCCATCTCCTCCCCTCCTCGTCCTCCTCCTTCCCCCGTCGCGTCCCACGTGTCATAGGGGCACAACTTTCTTTTTCTGTGGTTTCAAGAAATCGGACTTTTCTCCTTCAGCCATCTCTTCACCTCCTCCTCCTCCCCATCCTCCTCCTCCTTCCACCATCTCCTCCTCCTCCTCCATCCCTTTCCTCCTCCCAACATCTCCTCTCCTCCTCGCACCCCCCGACACAAACCACTCTCCAACACCTCACCCCCCCCCCCCCGCGGTTTGATGAAATATGAGCGGATTCTGCATGCTCTCAACGAGTGTAGAATGGCCCCATAGTTATAAAAAAAAAAAATAATAATAATTGGCCACTCTTTCGGCCGCCGCTTTTCCCAGGTGGACCCTGGGCCCCTTGCCGTCCCAGGTCCACCTGGCTGGGCCAGTTTATAGCCTAGCCGAGCATTCTATCTGGGTGAAGACGATAGGGTATGGCTGGTACCTTCTAGGGTAAATGGAGATCAAAAGAAAAAGAGTCCGCTCATACCAGGTTTTCCCATTTCCAGGACATGAATTTTCCTCAGCAGTTTTCTCCAAGGATATGTATGTCAGACTAGAGCAGTATCTTGTATCTTCCGGACCATGTTCATATGGTCAAGAAGCAGCATAGATTGGACCATCCCTTCGTTCGGGGAAAAGAAATAAAGAGAGTCCAGTTTGATAGAGCGCACATGGCACACTCATATTCTACTACACATGGTCTTGCAGTAAATATGGCAACGATGCTCGCCCATGCATAAACACTCACCACAAGGCAACACACACACACACATTCCACCTCACAAACCCCCCATTCTCTCCCTCCCTCCCCCTGATTGATGAAGTATTGACAGACTACATGCATTGCACTCATGTAGACAGTCATCCACTCATCTCCAGTGGTTATACATTCAGTTTCTACCAGTGGAGACAACAAGGCCTAGGCAAGCCACACCGGCAGCAGAGCTGAATTCACACAAGCAAGATGTGAGACTCGCAACTGCGAACCTACCAATACTTGGCAAAATCTGCATCACAAATAATTTGAGAGCATTGAATTCTCTATTAAAGCCAAATCCTCCACAGCACCGGAAATACAAATTGGCTGATGTGGAATGGAAATTTTTGAATAAATCTTTTTGCAGCAATCCTAGATGGATGACATCTCATTTCCAAACAAGAGCAAACTACCCACCCCCCCCGCCCCCCCCCCCGCCCCCCTATCCATGCATCGGTTTTACCGTGTCACCACTTGATTTCCAGCATGAATGCATCCTGAACCAGTCCTCACCTCTGGACAGATCCAGGCCTTGCCCGCTCCAGTGATTTCACCGCCTCCCAGTGGAATCAACCGAATGCCGAATATGTCAGCTGCCTGCAGCGAAATTGAGCCAAACAGCAGTGCTTCCGTTCTCAATTTTCAAGCAGGCAACAAAGTATGACCTTGAGTTCTTTGCTCCATGCACTCTGTGCTACCACACTGTCTGAGCAAGAGTTCATATGCCTCTCTTCATCCCACGTGCCAAAGGTATTCACGCCTCCTGCAGATAAATTCGAGCCAAACAGCCGTGAAATCCTTTTCAATGTTCGGTCGGTCAACATCGCAGGAATGCACTCCTTTACACATGCAATTCAAGAGCAAGGAGAAAATTAATGTTGGTGCCGGATAGCACAACTGGTATTTCCAGGCACAAAAGTGACAACTGGCTTCTCCCTCCTGTCCGCTCCATATGCATGTAAGTCTCACTAGAATTGAGTAAAGTCTCTTCCCCAAGATGTGCCCATAGGGCATACAATGAACAGACCGTTTACAATGGTTACCCTTCCAGCCTTTAGATGGGCCACAGCCCCTCTGGTGTTTGTTGTCCAGACATGTGGAGATAATTCCAAAGAGTAATTCACTATATGTTTTCTATATAAAAAGAAAAGTATTTCTACTATTTCACTACATGTTTTTTATACCAAAAAATTACTCAAAATTTTGGGGGGAAAGAGTTTGAAATACTCAAAAGAGTATACTGCGCATAAAACTTCAAATTCAATATCCCCTACCAAATTTGAGAGAGAGAACCAAAAAAAAAAAAAAGTTACGAGCATACCATTTACCCCAGGTCCCCACTGCTCTTCTTGTATACATCCTCCTCCCTCCAAGCAACATAAGCGATTGTCAAGCAAAATGTGCAACTACAGAAGGTTCTGCGCAAAACTCCACAGTCGGATAAAAAATGCGATGGGCCTTCCTCGACTAGCAAATGTCAGGCATTGCCCCTGTGCACTCAAAGGATTTGCCGTGAGAAGTGATGGGTTAATGACATCAGACGATATCAGGATTTCTGAACTCGCTGTAACTTCTTGATGGTGAGGCATTCTCCATGACCACCAGGAATAATGCAGATCCATGAAACAAACAACTAAGTATGTAGAGTAGAAAGCACTTCATGGACCAATACTTCGTAAACACATGACTTGAGTAATTACTAATTCGTATTGTATTGGATAAGATAACAATTTAGGCTGTAATCAAAATACAAACTCCAGTTCCTACTGAAGGGGATACATGCCTGTTTGGAGGCCAGCTCAACAACCACGTGGCTTGGCACACAATGTCACAGAGAAATCCACACTGGGGTGGGGTGAAGTATTCCGCAACGAGCACCCCCACTGACTCCATCAGTTGCTAAGTGTTTGCCTTGTATATGCAAGTTAGGGGTCTAATTTCTGTTGAAGGGGATGACTTGTGGAAGAATAGTCGGGTGAAACCCAGCACACAGCGTTGTGTAACATCTTGAGTCAGTGTCATGTGCTGCAATGCATAGAATCATACAACATGGGAATAGACAACACAGCCTGGAGTGGTGCCTGATGGAGATGGGTAACTGATGTTGTTCGGGTGAGAAAAAGTGAAGATACCATGCTAAGAGTGCACCCTCGCACCAACAGATGGATGTGCGAAGAGACCATGAAGAAGAAACGTGAATCGAAACTACATTCAGTTCACAAGGCTCAGCATTGACTAAGCAAAACAGCATCGAGAAAGAGACGACAAACCATTCACCACTTTGGAAGTTTTTTCTTCCCCCCCCCCCCTTTACAATATTGGCAATGAAGAAAGCCCCTTTCTCACCTCTAATCAACGAAATTAGTACCAATAATAAAAATAGTAAAATACTTTGCAATGCCAGCCTCTCTCTAAAACAGGCTCTGTGATGACATGCCCTAGCCACAAGCCTCCTCTAGCCTACTCTTACAGCTTGCTGTTGTCCAATATCGCCAAACCAATGCTGCACCTACCGATGTCCAGTTGAAGAATGTACAATACTGGAGCCAACTTCGGAACCACCAGGTACATATCTCGCTGTTCTCCCTCCTCTCACCATCCTCCCCTTCCCTCCAGCAACTCTCCCACACTACCTGTCCCTCCATCTATCACTCTCTCTCGCACACGTGAACCAGTTATGGATGCTGCCCTGCTCCTGCCCTCGCACTGGCAGTGGCGCTATGCTGCTGCTTGGCACGGGTTGCAATGCCACTTGCCTGCAGTGCAGCTTCTCTCGACAGCAGCCTCGCCCAAACGTGAGCACTGCTGCCACTGCCCTGCCTAAGTAGGACGGTCGGGTTCTCTGCAGGCCTGCCTGGGTCGGCGGGCCTTTCACGGCACAGTCAGAACTACTGACTATCATGACGCAGCTCTCAGCAACTTCCTACCAGACAAACTGGGTGAAGTCAGGCTGTGGCCGTATGGCCTACCATATCTTGAGTTTGCCTTCTCCCTCGTCCCATCTTCTTCTTCTGCCACCTCCCAAGAACAACTCGAGAAACAGTAATGTCAATACTTTCTCTCTGTCCTCGAACGATCTGCTTCTGGCAATCACCTCCAACAAGGTTATTAAGTTTCATATCTGTCAGGTAGAGAGCATCACTCTCCCAAAAGAAATGCCATGCCACAATGGGCTCTCTCTGTCTCTAGAGGAAATAGACAGTTAGAAGAGGAGTTCTTCTCTCTCTCTCTCTCTCTCTCTCTCTCTCTCTCTCTCTCTCTCTCTCTCTCTCTCTCTCTCTCTGTGTGTGTGTGTGTGTGTGTGTGTGT